GCACCAATCCCCCCCTGATTGGATCCATCTGCGCTGGCTGTCGTCGCCAAGGCTAAGGTGCTTTCTCAAAGACGAAATTTCAACGATTTTGCCAAAAGTTCATGACAAGCAAGTTGATTTCATTTTACCTGTCTTCCATTTCATCTGTGTAGTTTTTCTTATTGCAGATCTGTATCCCGTTTTCCTGGTGCGCGGTACTCACCTTAGCACGGATGGCCGCCAACTCCGATTTGCTGACGACGGTGACGTTCGACATCTTCGGCATCCGCCTCGGCGAGCCGTCAAACCCCTATTGTCCCCGGCTCCACTTGTCAACCGCACATTCAAGAAAACAATTTCGTTACATATTTGACAAATTGAAATTGATTCCATACATTCAATACAACATACCGTTTATTGTGCAACAGAAAATAATAAATAAATCGGAATGAGTGAACGAATGTGTCCGTAAAGACAACGTGAAAGTATGGCCCATTGGTCATGCCACGCGTCCCTACTGAACTGAAAGAGCGGGACAGCGTCGCGTTTCTAACGCCATACACATGGCTTAGAAACGATTGTCGCAAACGCCTGTGATGAGAACAATATTCTGAGTGCTGTTGCCACTTGCGCACCTGTGCACCTGTGTGAGTGGGTTCTGCCCAAAACCCAAGTCGTCAGAGCACACAAGTGCACAGGTGCGCAAGTGGCAACAGCACCCAGAGCATTTTTCTCAAGTTACTGGGGTTGAACGAACGCTGTGCTTGCTTGAAAGAAGCTGTAAAGTCACGAAGATATCAGGAATAAGACATCTCTTTCTGTGATCTCTGGCTTCCTGCTTTCTGTATCAGAAAGCCACCGGGCCTCCGAGGAGTCCCCAAAAGAGCCGTGCGAGGAAAACCCACAAAGCGGCATTTTGAAAATGCTGGCTACCAGAAAGTACTGCCAATCGCATGTTTTACGCCAAAATTATCCGAAAGATGCCAGTGTCCACCTGTTGACAGGTCACGTCTGAAGGCTGGGGGTCGGTCAACAGTCACCGGGGCCCGGGCCGCGCCGCCGCCTGTCTTGGGGCCCCTCGGGGAGCCGGAGGGCCGTCGGGGCGACAGGCGCGCTGAGCCGCAGAAGCTCCTCAAAGGCCGCCGAAGCGGCGCGGACAAGCGGTGAATTCCGCCGTCCTTGACACCAGCCAAAACACAGTTTTTGCGATTTCAACTGCGATGCCATATTGACACTAAGTGGGCCATCTCAGTGGCTGCGATGGCATAAAAGTATCGATGATGGCGCGAACAAGTGTCAAAATGACATCGCACTAGGCATCGCCGAAATGGCGTTTTCTGCTGGAGTGAAGCGGCTGCGGAAATTTTGGGAAGAAGATGGCGTGCGGCCACTCAGCACCAGTCTTGGCACAGTGCGAGCTTCTGCACCAGGGAGGCCGGGCGAAAAAGCGATTGGATGGCCGACGCAGAGAAAGCCCTGCTCTGAGCGGGGAACAGGATGGCGTGCGTCAAGGAGACGAAGCCGTGAGGAGCCCACCCCTCTTGAATGCGTCCGGACGAAAAAACGACACAAAGACCAAAACAGCAAAACCAAGGCAAAATAGCACAAGAAGTAAAAGGAACGAAATTATGACAACAAAATGGCAATGTAATTTCATTTTAAGAGTTTCCATACTTAGAAATTGCGATCAGTGGGTAAAGGCGGTTTGATGATACTGAATTGTGAAGTTTGCGCGCTCTGACGGAGAGCAACTCAATGGTTGGATTGTGGCAGTGCCACTGGCCATAATGAAACAATTCATGGACACTGCTATTTTGGGGGGAAAAAGGAGCTGATGGCTGCCTCCTCGCCTCGATACGTAAGACCTCTTGATGATGAAAAGGAACAAAAGAAGCAATGCATGCTGTTACGGCTAGAACTGATTGAGTGTTACTAATAACTGAATGCATGAAAAGATGACGAAGCACTAGGAATTGCATTAAAGATGTTGATGAACAGACTGAAAATAAAGGGCGGAACGTCTCTTGTCCTTTTGTCTCGGCTGTAAACCGTTGCCGTGGACTCGAGCGTACGATTCCCGTTCAGGGATCGCCACCCCTCGATCCTGCCTGCCTTCGTCAATGCAAAAGAAAACAGCAAAATGCAGCAAAGAAAACCTTGAGAGATTTGGACTCATTGCCATTTGCGACAGGCGGACGCCCGTGCGCGGGCGGCGGCGGAGTCCGGCGACATGGGGCGCGTCGGCCGCCCCGAGCGCACGGGCCCCCCGGAGCTGTTCTACAACGAGCACGAGGCGCGCAAGTACACCACCAACTCCCGCATCATCGAGGTCCAGGCCTCCCTCGCGGAGCGCGCCCTGGAGCTCCTCAACCTCCCGGCCGACGGCGTCCCGCGCATGCTGCTCGATCTCGGCTGCGGATCGGGCCTCAGCGGCGAGGTGCTGAGCGACGCCGGGCATGTTTGGGTGGGGCTGGACATCAGCACGGCCATGCTGGATGTCGCCTTGGAGCGGGATGTGGATGGGGATTTGATTGTCGGCGACATGGGGACCCCGCTGCCGTTTCTGCCCGGGACGATCGACGGGGCCATCAGCATCTCGGCCGTGCAGTGGCTGTGCAACGCCGACAGCACGGGTGCGGATCCATTCAAAAGGATGCGGAACTTCTTTGGCGCCCTCTACGCGTGCCTTGCGAGGGGCGGGCGCGCCGCCCTCCAGCTCTATCCCGAGAATGCGGCCCAGGCGGAGATGCTCACTGCCGCCGCGATGAGGGCCGGATTCAGCGGAGGCATGGTGGTGGACTACCCGCACTCGACGCGCGCGAAGAAGCACTTTTTGGTGCTGATGGTGGGCGGCGGGGAGGTGCCGAGGGGGATGGGGGAGGATCGGATGGAGGTGGAGGGGGAGGTGCCGGTGGGGGGCAGGAGGGGGGGGAGGGGGGCCAAGGGGAAGGGGGCGAGGGACAGGGAGTGGGTGATGAAGATGAAGGGAAGGATGAGGGCGCGGGGGCGGGAGGGGGTGCCCGAGGACAGCAGATACACAGGCAGGAAGCGGAAAGTGCGGTTCTAGGGGTCTGCTATTGTATGTTTGTTCCTTCCTTACATGGATGCATCGGCATTATGTCACGGCATCGATCAATGTAGCGTGCGAATCCAGTGTGCGATGGGCACGTCCAGGCCCGCCTATCCCACCAAAGCGCCACCTCCAATGGCGTGATTCCAAGGGTCTGAGGCTTGTTACGCTGAGCAAGTGACAGGTCATACAAAGGGCACCCCTTCCTGAGCAAACGCAGGCGAGACTCTTTTCCATGCTGTGAAAAGATGATGGTGCTAGGGGTTCAGGTTCGTGGCACGAAGAAAGAAGACATGCTGTGCACAAGTGCACCCCGGTTGCAGGGGGGTGAAAAAGTTTGGGGAAGGGAAATGGAGGGTGGACTATTGGGGCCAGGAGGCCAGATGGGAGGTTGTTGGTAGGTGAGCGTTGGGGGCCCGGGAAGCAGAGGTGGTAGTGCGTGTTGGACCGCTGCAGTGCATGTGTCTGGGGAAGGTTTGGACGCATCTGGGGCATGGCGGTCTTTGAATCTGCCTGCTGGCGATGGTGGGATTGCGGAAGCATTCGGAATCGGGCAGGATGCTGCACATTTTTGGCCTGAAGCAGCCGAGATGTCGAAGAACGACATCGGAATGTATCTGAGTGCAGATGTCTTGCTGGCCCATTGGTCGTTTCCATGGCCACTGTGCAGATCCATGGCTCTTGGTGATGAGATATGTGAGAAGACAACAGAGCACCGAGGAGGTCTCAAGCCGCCCAAAGCAACTGGTGAAATTGACAACTCCATGTGGTGCAGAAATTGGAAGAATTGACTTGCTGACTTGTTTGCTGAATTTTCGTTGAATTCTTTCTTGTTGTCCTTGGCAATTCCCCGCTTCCATGCATTTACTTGTGACCTGCTGGCACAAGTGGTGTGTGACATTCTGGCACCAGTGAAATGTGACATATTTCCATCGGGAAGCACCAGTCACTGGGCCGACACATAGTTTATACTCTGTTGAAGTGCTGTGCTTTATTACATTCGCTGGTTAGGTGTGATGAATCAGATGGGCAGTTGTCAGCACACATTTCTGTTCAAAAATAATTGTTTAGACGATGCCCATTGGTTCCATTTGGAATTTTCGCCAAACTGCATCAATGGTTTGCGGGCATCGTGCTGTGCAAGGACGTAAAACATATTTGATAAAAAAAGTTGTTTGAAACTTTTAGAAGATAATGGCCATAATGTCGACCAACATCGGCGTCATGTGCGTCATTATCCTGGTGCTTACAAGCGAGGTGCACAGCTCAATGGGCTTGCAAAGCAGGTGTTTTCGCAGAGAAAATATTGCATCGGTCGCGCCGAGCATGGGCACGCTGCGTCAACACGCTGCCAGTCATGCATGCGGGTCTGTCCGATGGTGTGTTGATCGTCCAATTTCCACAACTGCAACGTTGCCCAACCTCTACAACTGCAACAGTTATCATATCGATAGTATCAGTAGGAGCGGCGACTCCCAGTAGCGAAGAACATAAGCTCCAGTTCTCACACACGACCCATTGGAGCAACCTCCTTATTGCCTTCTCGTTCAACTCATCGCAAACCCAATCTACAAAATGATTGCAACGATCCACCATGGTTTGCATCCACAAATCATCCCAATTCGCACAGGCCTCGACGAGCGCACGGCGCACGTAAAGCAAGGCCGCATGCGTGGGCCATGTTCCTTTGGGCGGCACAAAAAGAGCTCGGAAAAGCCTGACGAGCAATCTGCCGCAGCCGGGCCAGCCACTCGCGGACATCGGCCCAGTGGACTCTGACGATGAACGAAACAAGGCCAAAACTACGATCTCCAATACGATCTCTGACACGATCTCCGATACGATCTCGACGGCCTTCGTCACGAATGCAGGATCACACGACCGTTGCTCCACTGAGCGCACTGCCAACCGAGCACATTCCGCCCGGCTGGAAGCTGTGCAATGGATGACGTCAGCCTATTACTTCGGCAACTTCCCCCGAGACGAGCACCTTGTCGATGATGTGCACAATGCAGTTGCACGCCTCTATGTCCTGCTCCACCAGCTGGGACACGCCCACCGCGTCCGCGAAGGCGATCTGTTCGTCCCCCACGTTCGACTTGATGACCGTCAGAGAGGCGCCGTCCTCCTGAAGCGCAGAACAAAGGCGGAACGTCGGCCATTTTTTTAACAATAAACTACGCTAATTGATTCAATTAAATTTAATTAAGCAAACGATTAAGTAATTGAAAGTGCAGTTCACTAAGTTCAGTTAATTATGTCCAGTCTATTAGTTAATTAATTGACGTAATTAAGTTAGATTTCTTCATTTTTCGATCCTATTATTTTCAACTTTTTATGTTGATTTACAGGACAGCGCTGGGCTTCTCCTCCCAGGCCCCAACCTGCGTCAAACAGTACCACGGAACGCATAACGCGCTAAGCGTTCCACAACAGCATAACAGCCAGCCTTGCGAACATAGAGGGTGCGACATTCAGTACCAGGTGGTATCTCGGTTTGCCACGCCACAACCACGTCCCTCAAACCCACAAATGCACACATGTACTCCGTACACATACGCACATGTGTATACACGTAAATGTACTGTATGACTCACGCCGACTTTCACAGTGCACGTGGCACTGCAGGTACCCTGCCCGCAGCACCGCACTTCACTCAGTATCACACTGTATTAGAAATATGAGCAGTGTATCTCAGAAACTGCATATTTGGATAACGCTGTGTGCCTTTTGCGTGCAACAGCACTCGCGAAAGTCCACACGCACCTGCAATGACGCCAGTGTGCTGATCTTGTCCCCAGGCTTCAGCTCCCCCCTGCGATGCGCAGGGATTGCCACGTGGTACGCCAACAACTTCGAAAGAAACGTCGGGTCGGTCATCAGGTCCGTGGCGCGGGGCCCCAGAGACTCTATAAAGGTCTGCGGTCGCACAGAAGGGATCCGTTAGAGATACCGAAACACTGTTTGACAATGTTCTGTGCATGTGCGCAATCGTGAACAGAAGATGGCGCCGCCTCATCAGTGGGACTGCCTCTGTGAAAAGGGAGCACATCGGAATGTTCTTTGAACAAGTCCTTAACGAGGACTTGCATGCACTGTCAGAGAGTGGCAGCTTCCAGCGGGAGCACATATGTCGTCGTAGAATGCTGTTCCGAAGACTGTCAGTGACACCAATGGCAAAGGCAAAGCGATTGCAAGAAGTTGGGACATGCAGGCGGCTGCTTTGTCAATCCCAGGGTAACTGCCAGCGACATGTCGTCATGCTTCAAATACAAATAAGCAATGCGTATGAGGTTGCTCCTGAGGCTGTATTCCAAGAAATGTCCGCTCATTGAGCACTGGCAGGCAAGAAGAACCGTGGGAAGCTAGCCCTCCGAATGCATGAGCTCCGAAGCCGAATGACGTTGCCAAGCGCAAGATGCACAAATTCGTGGCGTTCAGATACCAAAATTCGTGGCCCTCCAAGCCATCCTCACTAGGAACGAGGGACCAGATAACACTTTCTGCGAACACATATATGTGAATTCTATCAGTGTTCTGCATGCTAAAACACGGAAATAACACAAACCCGTAAACATTGTACACATTTGAACACGTGTTATTTGGGCCTTTTTCCCTTACCCGGCCCTGATCTGCCTCCCCTCTGGGCTCAGCACCTGTGTGCCTTGACGCTGTGGTGGTGGGTTTTCAGCCAATTACTGTGACGTAATTGTAGACCGCCAGCAGAGGCACGCTGTTTGACTCTGTGAGTTCAGCAGAGACACGTGACACACGACCAGCGTGTCGGCTTTTCACGCTGCCTGTAAGCACTTCCATTCATTCGTTCTATGCCAAGCGCGAGAATTTTGTGCGGCTATGCCCTGCGGAGAATGGTGCGCCCACCTTGAACGCCTCGTTCGTCGGGGCAAGGAATGTGGCCGACAGGTTCGAGTTGCTCACGACCCTAAAGAAGCCCCCCTTGTCGAAAGCATCCTTCAACACGGACAGCTCCGGCCGCATCTCCACCGCCCTCACAATCGTCGTGCACCCTGGCTCAGTGTCGATCGTGCTTTCGTCAGGCAGCTTCGCAATCTCCTCTTCCACCACCTGGATCAGGTCCGTGAGCATCCCGTCTGGCAGGGCGGTGGAGTTTGTGAATTCCACGGTGTTCACAACGACCACCTCGCCGTCCGCATTCTGGCCCTTGGACTTCTTGCCCTTCTTCTTCTTCTTCTTTTTGGGCTCATCCTCAGCAGGTTCGTCCTCAGAGTCCGATGCCTCTGGTGCCGAGGCCACTTCCGCCAATGTTTCTGTCAATTCATCTTCTGTTGCGTCCGCAGCGTCCCCTGAAGCACCTGCTGCGCCATCTGGCGAGGAGTCTGTCGCCCCTTGTGAGCTTCCGCCTTTCCCTTTGGCGTTAACCAGCGAAAAGAGATCCTTGGACAGCAGGACTCTGTCGATCACGTGCACAACTGAGTCGCAGGCCTGCAAGTCTGCCTCCACCACTGTCCCTTTGTTTCTGAATCCCTTGATTGCAATTCCTGCGCCCTTTTTAGACTTGACGGCCTTCAAGGAGGCATCAGCAGCCTGGAAGCAAGCAAGACAACAAGATTTTCAAGCTGCAGCTGCTCTGCGGCTGGAAAGGGCGTTTCCAATTGATGCAAGAATCTCGATTTTGTGGCAAGAAATTCGAAACTCCCGTGAGAAAGAGCAGTGTCAGCAAATCAGACGATTGTTGGCGTCAGCATCAACATCCTTGCATTGACAATATTCTGGGACTTAACCACCACCTGCGATTAGTGTGCAGCAATGAACCCTTCAGCAATACAGCTCTTCCGAGCATTGCACAGCGGATACAGGACAATGGCCATTCATTGTAGGCACTCAGCTACTTTGGCTCTAATAATCATTTGAACTTGTCACACAATGGCAATACCCACTAACAGAAAAGGCCATTTTGACAACGCTCACCCCGATGCCAATGCGACAATGCTCACTCCGGTGCCATTTTGACACTAAGTGAGGCCATCGCAGTGATTGTGATGGCACAAAAGCAGGCGCGTTGGCATCACTTAGTGTTAAGTGGCATTGCAGTCGGCATCACCAACATGTTGTTTTTCACTGGTGACGCTTGCCACGGTTTTCGGCGATTAAATACATATTCATACAGGATGATCTTGAAGATGTTCCTGTGGAATTTTTTTCCCAGCATTGCACCCCATTCTGTGCCACTACTGGGGAATCTGTGACTGCCTTTGACTTACCACCAGTCCAGAAGGCGTGGCCGTTGTGGTGGGAATGGAGTCCCCTGGCGAAATTTCGTCTGCAAGCAATGGAGACAGTGTTATGTGATAGGCCAGCAGCTGTTTGAGGAAGTCAGGGTCCCCAAGCAGCTCGTCAATATCTGATCCAACGCTCTTTCCAAACACCTTCACACAAACACAACACCATCAGGAAATCAACGACAAATAGAAGCTAGCAAGAAGCAGCGTTATTGGCAGCAAAAAGGTCAGATAGAACCAGTTTCAATGTACATACTCAGCATCCAATGATGTCCTAAAAACCAGCAGGGAAAAAGGTTGGAATCACGTCCTGCAACTATGGCATGCTCTTAATTCCTATTAATTGTTGATTGTTTGATGGAAAGGGGGGAAGCATATCACGCAAGAAGTGCCCTCCTCCTGTGAAAATGATTTGTGACATTCTTTTGGTTACTATCAAGGATGATACTGACATCTCAGCAATCAGCAGTACAAAAACAGCAGTACACAAAAAAGTCAGATGCTCAGCACTGGTGGCACAACATGCACGGCAAAAAAATATGCCTTACCTGCAGGGTGACAAAGACGAGCGGAGGCAGGATATGTCATGAGAAACTGGTGAAAGTCCATTTGAGTGTCAAGTATTTTCAGGCAACTGCATGTAAAAGTCTTGTCCTTCACCCAGGAGTTTCAAATAGCATAAACAATCCATTGCAAGGCAAGGAGAAGGGTGATTCTGTTAGTGCTGTCTGTCACTATATTCTATTGTGTCCACTGTCCATAACTATTTCTTTTGTGCCACCTCAACTACGTGGAATAGAAACCTATGGTAGGTTTCTCTTTCACCTATTTGAGGTGAGGACGACGACTTCCTACACAAGGCGTCACGACAAAATGTGCATGCCACAGTCTGTGTTATGCCAGCAATACATGGCCCATCAGAATGCATCACGGCCACGTCCAGGGCCGCCCATGACCCAACTGAGGCGGCGCAAGAGTAAACAATGGCCGGCGCCGATGCGGTCTCCGGCAATCTGCGCCGCGCCCCGCACCTCGAAGGCCTCCGAGGAGGGCGCGAAGACCGTCGCCTCAAGGCCCGCGTCGCTGAACACGTCTACGACTCCCCCGCTCTGCACCGCGCCCGCGAGCGACGTCAGGTCGGGGTGGTCCTTCACGACGTCGAGCACGGTCTTGCAGTCCCCGGCACCGGCTGCCTGCCCTTCCGGCGCCGTCCCTGCCGCTGCCTTCCTTGACTTGGGCCCCTTGCGCGTCCCGGGTTTTGCCGGATCTGCCTGCGCGGCCGTTGTGGCCTCCTCCGACACGAGCACGGCGTCGATGACGTGGACGATGGACTCGCAGGCCACGATGTCCGTCTCGACGAAATTGGCGACCGTGCCGTCGGACGCCTTGATGCTCACCAGGAAGTCGTCGTCCTGGGACTCGACGACCGCCAGTTCCAATTCGCTGCCCTGCGTGTGCGACGGCGTTGCGAGAAATATTGTAATCAAGACATGTGAATTAGCTGTAATGATTTAACTACAATCTTAGCAGCAGTAAACTAATTACAATCTTAGTTGCAATGAATATATCAATTCTAATCTTAACTATAACATAACAGTTTTTTTTAATTTCTTACGAACATTCTAATAAGATATGCGAGTTGATGGGCAGTTGAGTGCTGTTGATGCGATTTGAGATAATCTTCTGCAATATTGAAAATACAGTTTCAGCACAGGCCATCTTCACATGCAAGACACAGCTGGGATCCCCGGCACAAAGAGCCCTCGAGAAGAGGTTGCGCAATCATGCAGGCCCCCACGCCAACTCCTAGATGAGAATATGGAGACCCTGAGGCGCGCACTTCACTGCCGTCGCAGAAGGGAAAGGCCTGTGCTCCAATGTGAAAGCCGCGGTTAACCCAATGGTTGGAAACATGGACCACCTACCGCCTTTCCTGCCATGGTTGTCAGAGCGTCGCCATCGGCCATTTCTTCTTCAAACAGGGCTGGCTTGCTCACGTGGTAGTTCAATACTTTCGTCAGGAACTCGGGGTTTTCCAGAAGGTCGTCAGCGCGCTTCCCGAGGGACTTGCTGAAAGCCTGCAAGGGCCACACAGCGGTATCAGACGGGATTCCTGTAACACAAGGAGAAACGAACAGCAACAGCAAGGGGCGAGAACATTTATGATACCCTTCACATGATATGGCGATTCTGCATGTACGCTATTCTGCCTTTCCCCTTCATCAGAAGTTTGTGTGGGTGGGGCCCCTATTTTTGGGGACAGACATGCGCGGCCCTGGACGTGGCCAACTGATATTTTGTGGCTGTTCCATACATGTTTGGGTATACCATGGTGGTGACATGCACATCCTTGTCGTAACACCAATTGTAGGAAATCTTCTTCTTCCTTCATCAGAAGACACAGACTACCATTTGCTGCCATTATGCTCGCCGCAGCATTTCATCAGAGCACTTGCGGACGTCGCATCATCCTGACAACGACTTGAGGCGCCCCTGGCGTCCTGTGCATGCTCAAAGCACCAAAATAACTTCTTACTTTGCTAGTTATTCCGCGTTGGGATAACTACAGCCGGGCGGCTCTGCAGCAAAACAACCCGCACGAATGCCGTCACCCACACTGCGGCCTCTCATGGGCACGTGGATTCACGAAACTGGCTGCCCCAGCAGCCGTGGCCGCACCTCGATTGCGTCGTTGGTGGGGGCAAAGAAGGTCGCTTCGAAGGTCACGTCATCGACGACGGGAATGAACTCCGCCTTTTCCAGCAACCCCGCGAGCTGGGAAAGGTCCGAGTTGCTCTCCACGGTGTCCAGTATCGTGAAGCACGTGCTGCCCGCGGGCTTGCTGCTAGGCCGCGGCGTGTCTGCAGAAGGCCCTTCGCCAGCCGCCGCCGTGCTGTTTTCGCCAGAACCGGTTGTGTTGGCAGCTCCGCCTGCGCCGCCAGCGGCAGGGGTTCCTTCATCTGCTTCTTCAGTGCCATTTTTTGCCTTCTCGTCGGCACCGAAAAAGTTTGTCTCCCCTTCGGGAGTGCCGGATGCCCCCCCCGTTTTGTTCGTGGCGCTGGACTCCGGGCATGTGCATTCCCCACATGACAGCCTGCAGAAACCCTCCATCCACGACTGACCGCAGGCCCCGTTCTTTACCTGCAAGGCGGCAAGGCAGATGTCCTCATTTTTGTGTTGCTGCGTTCGCACAGCAGGGAGATTGGCAGACAGTCCCGCCATTTTCTCCAACTTGTATGCGCTAGCATTGTCAGCAACTAAATCGTGATCACTGTATTCAAGCCAATAATGATGCATGCAGACGGCACCCGTGGATTATTCAAAAGGAACAATTCAGCATCATTTGGATGCACTGGAATGCACCAATCGCTAATGCACTAGTCACTGGCCCAAATACACCGCTTTTGAGAGGACAACTAAGGCGTCAACTAACATTAAGTGGCGCCATTCACTAGGAAAAAAGGGCAAAATAACACGTGTTCAAATGTGTACGAAGTTTACGGGTTTTTGTTACTTTTGTGTTCTTAGCGTGCAGAACTTTGATGAAATGTGTTTTATGTGTGTTCGCAAAAGTGTTATTTGGCACTTTTTTTCCTAGTGATTTCAGTGACTGCGATGGCATCAAAGTAGCTGTGATGCCATCAATTGGTGCCAAGCGGCACCCCCAGCTGGCACCACAACAATGCTGCTTTCTAGTGGTGAATACAACACATGGTGCCACGTGTCCGGTCTTCCAGGTAAATTCGGCATGCACACCTGCTCCTCACACGTGAAATCGGGGGATGGGGCTTCGTTGGGGCACTCTTCGCAGCCTTCAGACGAGCCCTCCGACCCGCCCCCGCATTTGCATACACCGCACGAAAACTCGCAGAACTTGCCATCTTTCAGCCATTGTTCATCGCACTTGCCAAACTGCACCTGTGAGCAAAGCGCACACATCAAGTGCTGTCAATCAGGCCGTCAGAGATGACTCATCACCGTTCGTCGGAGGTCAAATAAAGTGAAGAACGGGATGTTGGGCACCACAACGACCACAAATGTTTTCTTCCATCCAGGTTTCTTGGTTCGATATTGATATTGCAATGTGGTTTGACCTGGCACATGCTAATGAAGTGTGACAAAAGGGTGACATTTGACTTACAAAGAGCATGATATTCGAATTAAAGCGTAGTGGCTTGTGCATATATTTCCACAGCAAAAGGAAAAGCAGCTCACCAGCTGCCCTTAATTTTACTTCAGTACTAGAAGTAGTAGAAGTACTCAGTAGCAGAAGTATATATTTCACATGTGCCGCGTCCCCGTAACTTCTGTCAAACCGTTGTCGCCGCTGAAGCTGATGCCTATACGACCATTGGAGCAGCACTTGCATCTGGAAGCTGGGATGAAAGTTTGCACCACAAAGCAAACTTCCAACAACGCACAGTGCATGCACATCAAACAGGCAGATGTTGCATCAATGAATATGGAATCAGTAGGCTATTGTGTCGTTTGCATCCGTGTTGTTACTTTGACACTCACAATTTACCCCTTCACTGGCGCTCGTGCCCTGCTGGCCGGCAAGCATTCGACCCTGGCCATGCGAGTTGCTCCTACCTGATCTCCACACGAGAACTCCCCTGGCGGCTGTGTGTCCTGGCACTCACACCCCTCTGGTATGGCCTCCTGCGACAGTACTGCAAAAGACAGGACACAGCACGATGTGGTCAAGCCCAGCCATTCTGCACGGTCAACGCACACACAGTCAGGGACATCCTGGCAACAATTTGTTTTACCATACCCTCTATCGCGTCCTTTCCGTTGAAAGCATAGTAGTGCTGCGTTCGGACAAATCTGCATTATCTTATGAAGCACAGAGAGCCTCCGTTTGTGAGACCACACAAAATTCCTTCTCAGGACGTGGGAGGGAACTGATTGGACCACCCGACGCCAGCGATCGACACCAGGGCGCAAGGGATTTATTCACCATGTCCAATCCGACAAGAACCACCCAAGTGAACCAAGGAGCGAATGTGCGCAATCCATGCACCATTTCCTCCTTGTCGATAAAAGGCCTTTCCCCATCGTCCCCTCCCCCCCCCCTTCCAGCGTGGTTAAGCATTGAAACTCGGTCATCTCGGCCTCACTGAATTGCCTGGGCCGCTCTTGCCCCCACGGGGCAAAGCAGCGTTAACGTCAGCGAGAACGTTCTCGCGCCTCCCGGATGGCAAGCAAGAAACACTTCCACGACGATCGCCCCTTTCCCATGGCGCCTCCCATCACCTCCCAGCGCCAGCAGCGCCAGCGACAGGCACAGCACTCCCGTCCGCCGTCCGCGATCCATCCTCTTTCGCCCCTTGGGAGGTGGCCCCTCGGTCTGCCTGGCCCCGCGGCCGGTCCACAGCGACCGTGGCGTTGGGCCCCTGTGGCAACACATCACGTGCCATGGTCAGCGTGCACAGGACTGACACGCGACCTTACAGCACCTTAAAAAAGCAGCGACACTGCACATGGTCCCCACACAACTTGCGCAGTTTGGTTTCGTCTTCAGCCCCAGCGCAAAGCGACCCCGACGGATGGGGGTGACCCAAATTTCCGTTACTGACTGCATCCCCTCCCAGCCTCCTGGGTTGGTAACCGGCAGCCCACGGGGGCATCAAGGCACGCAAATCGCGGAGCGATCGCCACCCCCCCCCTCCCCCATGCGGTGGCCCATGTAGATTGCGCGGGTGTCCATGTTGATGGACCGTTCCATGGGGGACGCATCCATGTCGATCCCGCCCCCGACGGCAGCGCGGCATCCATGCGCAGCTTCCTGCCGGCCCCGCAGCCCCGTGCCTCCCGCAGGAGCTCTCCCACCGTCCCGAACAAAAGCCCCGCGCCACGCGCTCGCGCGCTTTCCCAGTGCAGCATGCGCTCGCGACCGCGTGGTCGCGATTGGCCCGCCGCGCTGAGCCACAGGCACGCACCTTCAAATTTTTCGTCGTTCCCTTGGCCGCCACCGGTTTCGGTTTCTCCCCGTTTCCTGTTCTGGTGCCAATCACGGCCGGACGTCCGAGGCGCCACCTCCTGGCCCGCCGCGGCCTGCCTCCCCTGAGGTCGCGGCGAATGCCGACGATGTGCATTTGTTCATGCGCCACATCCGCGGCCTGGGGACGGCCGGGGCCGATGGTGACGGGATCACGTCAGTGGAATGATGGCGGAGGCAATCGTTGGAATTTTGCGCAATTGGAGAGGCGCCACCCAGGCAGGCCCTCAAGCAGTCGCGACCGCAGGTAAGAACCAGTGCGCGCTGTTTAGCGCAATGCGGGTGGCCGGCCAGACCGACGGAAGTTGCAAGCCCGTCCAGCGGCCCAAGTTCGGCTTGCTGCCAAGCCGAGGCGGAATTCGGCTTTCAAGTGCGGCTGAGCAAACGACAGACCTGGCACGTTCAGCCCCGGCCACACGGACCGAGCGGGTTTTGCCAGGGAAAAAGCGCCTAAACCAGATCTTGTTGGATATCCACAAGGCAGTTTGCGATGCAATTCGCAATTCCCAATTTGCAATTTGCGATGTTCAATTTGCAATGCGCACATTTGCAATAAGCAGCATGTTCCTGATTGACTGAACACCCCCACAGATGTATTAGAAGCGCTCTAGTGTAGTTTATTGACTGGAGCCGTCCCTTGACCCGGGCCACCATCTGCACCATTAGCCGGGAGACCCACGAGCGATGGGGCACAAGGTCAGGTTTCCGATCTGTATCCATTCAAGCACGTATTGTGAGGCATCAACAAAGGGCTGGTGATGTGCAGTGAAGTAGCCCACAGCTGCGTGTACATTAACGTTAATGGCATATTATGGCATTTAATGGCATGCACTACGTCAGTTCATTCAGCTCAGACTTCGACTGCGACTCAAGGGTATGATTTCCAGCTCGTCGATCATAAAATGAGTTAAGACGTCGGCATGCTGCATGTCTGCTTCCTCAAACGACAGCTGCGAGGAAGGCCGTCCGAATTGGCAGGGGTTTCAATGTCAACTTGATGTAAAAATTGTGCAAGATGGGTTGCACAGACGTGCGATGCCAAGTCTTTTCAATTTTAACATTTGACGGTTTTTATATTTTTCAGTGGCACTTGATGGCCAGAATGGCCATCTTACAGATGTGCTGAATGAACACCAGCGGTGGTATTTGTTCTGCCATGTGCTGACATTGATTGAATGGCCATAGGTGCGCTGGTTGAGTGACACATCTCGTTTGAATTGCCATGATGGCAGCTGTGTGAAGTGCTGCAGACTTTTCGTCGAACCGGATGACCGAAGGGTAGAGAGCTAACGTGGCAATTTTTCTGTAGTCTAGGGGGCGTGTTATGTGGGGTCGTACGTGAACTCTCAGAGTCGATGTGACATTTTTAGGATCAAAATAGATTTGATGTGCTGACATGTACGAGGCTTCGAGGTTTGGAAGGGCTGTTTTGCGTGGTTGCCGCGACATGTGCGCTGGCACAAGGTCGCGCTGCCCGTTTTGGGAGGGGATGCATGCAATGAACAGCAGTTTGTGAAGTTGTAAGCGCCTTGCTGGTGTTCTCCCTGTGCGTGGCCTTTGCGCACAGGTCCTGGCGTGTAGCCCCACCAGTTTGGCTTCAAAGCCAGCGGTTTTCGGTCCCAAACGTTCGAGTTTCGGCGCGATGCACCCATGGCATGCTCATCGTTCGGGCTGCTTGGGGGACAATTTGTGAGAATCGTAGCGGTTTCTGTCAGAGTTTCTGTCCTTTTGGTTTGCCTGCGTCTGGACATGCATCGCCAGACTGGGCACAGAGTGGGCAGGTGTTGCCCACGTTTTTGTGGCCGATTCGCCAGCGACATTCACGCAAAGCGTCCCATTCTCACCGCCTTTTTGCCGCTCTTCAAGCGCTCTGGGATAAGGGACGGGTGTATCTTTTACAGACTTTCACTGTGCTGCCTGGAGGATCTGGCTATGTTTCGGCCACGATCTTTACACTGGGCCAATCAAAAAATTGCACAGGTTACACCCCTCAGGCACGTACGCGAATTTCGGGGATGACCTTCCGCATCGCCCTCCAATTGACTCACCGTCCCCATGAGTAGTTCTTCCTCTGGCTTGCAGCACTGGCACAAGATGCTTACATTTTGCGCAGGGAACAATCACTTGGAAAATTTTGCCCGGGTCACGAACTCGTTGGGACCGCTGAGCACATGTGAACATAATGAGTTGCATGTTGAGTTTCTGCTGAGCTGCCAAAATCGTGCATCGACACTGATAATACTGTGCTACAGTACACGGTGCACAATACACAGTACTAAGTACGGTTGTGCCATAGTAATGATGGCGTTGTCCACGGTTAATCTCGAGCGAACCGTGCTACCAGTCAGCGATTGTTGGAGATTGGAAGCGCAGTGTGCATCAGCGTATTTCCCAAGAGGCTCAGCAATGTCCAATCTGTTGATATTTCAGAATTCTCAGATGATCCGACATGCATTCAATAATATCCAGTGTACGGTAGCTGCGCCCTTGCCGCAGCGTACCGCACAATTTGGCGCCCAGCGGCCTCCGACCAAGCTCAGCAGTGGCTCGCTACCGAGGTTTCTCAACTTAACAATGAACAATTCATGTGCAATTCTTGTATCATTGCCTCTGCCATTGAATTGCCACTGGACTGCCATTCCAATAATCAATTCATGTACATTGCCTCTGCCATTGAATAGCAGAGACTCGGCTGATGCAGCCTACAGCCGCTATCGCGCTCCCTGAAGCCGATGGCCTCAACCACGGAGCGCCACACAGCCACGACATCAACCCATTCCCGGCTATTGCGACCATTCGACCGCGAAGCCTAACAATGGCCCAAGCCCACAATTCCTGGGCCTGTCAACACGGAGCAAAAAAACACTCCCAAAATCAACTAATGGTCGCCTTCTCTCCCAAGCCCTCGCATCCGCCCCACTCCCCCGTCCATCAAAAATCCCTTCCCCGGGCCCACTCTCGTCAAGGCGCTGCCATTTCTAAGGTCTCTTCCGTGGATACCCTGCTTGCGCCAGAGCCCTTCCTTTCCACGACGTTCATGTAGAGGCCGTTCGTGGTGTGGATGGTGGCCCCCGTGGTCATGCCAATTTCCTGGTCCGGGACGATGCTGAAATCGAATTCCCTCAGAATAACGGCCAGCGCGACCACGGCCTCCATGAGGGCAAACTGGTCCCCCACGCACTTCCTTGGCCCGCCGCTGAAGGGGATAAACCTACAGAAGAGAGCAAAGTCAGTAATTTACGTGACAACATGTACTGTAGGATTTGAAACCCTTCAGCACAGTAAGAAAACGCTTGGCCTGTTTTTGCGGAGAAAACAATAAAAGAAATAACGCTCTTTGAATGAAATTTTTTCGGAACAATGTAAAAAATGATAAATGGTAAACTTCCGATGCAGAGGTGTAAAAACCTGCAGAGAGGTACAAAGCACAGCAAAGTGCAACAGGCCCAATGATTGGGCACACGATTACACACGATTGTCGTGTGTAGATTAGAAGTTGGCATTTGCAACAGGGATAAATTCAGCGATGCAACATGCCCCATGGCATGGATTCCCAGTCTGCTTACTTGTAGTCAGTGTTTGACTCGTTGGGGACAGGGCCCTCCATGCCAAACCGCTCGGGAATGAAGTCCTCGGCATTTTCCCAAACGTCTGGATTGTGATGCACATTGTAAATGGAGATCATGACGTCTTGTCCAACGGGCACCTGTGACAGGTACACAGAATGTCGCGACGTCCCACCTGGTGGGCAACTGGTGCCCTCCTGTCTGTCTTTTTTCACTGGTAAATGTGCAGCTGTTGCTGTCATCGAAATCACAACACCCCAGATTTGTTCACTTCTGCCAACTTGCTGCTTTCCAGTAACAGTGTCTTACAGGGAGATGAAGACCGGTGATACAAGCAGCAGGAGCAGCAGACCCTCCCTGGGCGAACATGGCAATAAAGCAGATGGATGCTGATGAATAACTCGATGACCACATGGATGGATGCATGCATCCAACTGCAGGGTTTCCAATACGAGATAGTGCCAGTATCCAAATCTGCGCTCTGATACCTGGGGAAGTTTGGGTGAAGTCGTGTGTTGCATAATGTTCACAATGTTCCCAACAGCGTGCTTCCAGTTCGGATTTCCAATTGCCTGCTTTCAGTGTGAACTCACCCCTGTACCCTTCAAAATGAGTGCAAATGAGTCTAGAAGCACAGGCTGTTCGTCAGGTCTTGAGAATTGCAGGCAAGGAGACTGTGTATCTCCAGGCGTACCTTGTAGCCTCCAGGCAGGACGTCTGCCTGAGCAGCCCTCCTCAGCAGAACTGGCG